TATTTGTGTTGTTGATATGTACCAAAATTAACTGAAAATGAATTAAAGAACTAAACATAAGAACTGAAACAATACACTGCATAGAAGAAAACATAGGTGCTAAACTTATGGATCTTGGGTTCAAAGAGGACTTTATGAATTTGACTTCAAAGACAAGGGAAGTAAAAGCTAAAATAAATGAATGGGACTATATCAAAATAAAAAGCTTCTGCACAGCAAAAGAAACCATCGATAAAATAAACCAACTGAATTGGAGAAGATTTTTGCAAATAAATAGCATTTTGAAGTCTCTGTCGGCTAGTAGAAGTAACAATTAATTGCCATATAATACTTAGAACTCTGTTTTCCTTTCATCCCCAAGCTCTGTTGAAATTCTTCTTACATTTCTCACTTGAAGTGGCTTCCTGATGTCAGAGGAGAACCCGTGGTGAAATTTTAAACAGAGTCAGTAATAACAAGGGTAGTTGGCGGGCGATGGAGTGAGATTAAGATCGGTGGATTTAGAGCCTTTGTGAAATCTAGTTAAGTGCCAGTGTGCTCATGTTTGACCCAATGAAAAGAGATAGTCAATTTTCAATATTTGTACATTTTTAAAAATAGCCAGTATGGTGGCTTTGTATTGGCTACAGTGAGCTACATCCCCAGAATTCCTTTGTCTATATGTTTCTAAGATGGGTTGAAAGAGGGATTCTTTTGCAATATTTCAAAGGAAGAAGTGAAGCAGCAGCCCTATTTGTAGCTGACACACGTTGCCATGTCTCTGCTGGCTTATCTCATTGGTGTGAGGCAGTGGCCAGGACTGCGACTGCCACACTGTTGGGATCCTTCTTTTGTTTCTCTGACATGAGGGCCAGGTGTGTGTTTAGCTCTGTGGTGAAGGGCCCAGGCTTCTGCAGTACATCCACACCTCAAGGGCAGAGGCAATGAGCACTGACACAGGTTTTAATCTGTCATTACAGCTTTAATTCTTGCTTGTGGGTTCCAGTTTATTTTTATTTCCCCCCTATCCCCCCCCACCATTTTACATCCATCTTTTCTTCCTGACTGCCTGTCCTGTGGACTTAAAACTATGGTATCAGATGCAAAGGCAACAGACATATAGAGACTGCTGAATCAGCTTCCATGATTATGTGAGGTCAAGTCACTGTCATTATCTCCTAGTGATTCTGCTTCTCTAATAAAAACCTGTCAGATACAGTCAGTAACTCCAATTTCTTATTTTTACTGTTCTTTCAGGCAAATTTGGAACCCAAATGACTGAAACCTGGGGGTAGGAAATCATTCGGTGGTGCCTGAGATTTTGTTTATGGGACTCACCAGTTCTTTGGAGGTGCAAATAGTCCTGTTTCTAGTTTTCTCTGTGTTCTATGTAATGGGTATTTTAGGAAACTGCCTCATTGTGCGCACAGATCTCTGACTCCCATCTACACTCCCCCATGTACTTCCTGCTGGCCAACCTCTCCTTTATTGACATATGGACTCCCTCCATTGCAGCTCCCAAGATGATTTGTGATCTTTTATTTTATTATTTATTTAAAAAAAATATTTTTATTGGGGAATTGGGGGATGGGAACAGCGCTGGGGAATTGGGGGAAGGGGACCAGACAAGTTGCTGTCGTTTTGTTCTTCAGTCTAGTTGTGGAGGACGTTGCTTCACTGACCCAAGTTGGCACCATCATTGCGCTCTTCCCAGGCGAGGCAGATCAGTTGCCGGTTTCTGGAGGGCCGCTCACTGCGGCTGCTGGCCACTCATGCTGGCTGCTGGCTACACACGGTAGCCCATGGCAACCCACTGCATCAGGGCCTGCAGCCTACCCATCACCGGCAACTCACGGCAGCCCAGCTCCAGGTTGAGCTGTTGTTCAGTATCTTAGCTGTAGAGGGCAGTGTCACTGGCCCTCATATGTGGGATTCGAACCGGGGCCCTCTGGTGTCCCAAGTCAGCTCCTAACCAACGCACCACTCAGCCTGCCCAATTTGTGATCTTTTAAAGGAGAGGAAAATAATCTCTTTCCAAGGCTGCATTGCTCAGATGTTCTTCATTCATATTATTGGAGGAACTGAGATGGTTCTGCTCATCATCATGGCCTTTGATCGTTACGTTGCTATATGTAGCCCTCTTCACTACTTATTATTACTCCAGTTACTTCAAAAGCTGCATTGCTGTACTGTCAGGAGATTTGAACAATGGGGGCCAGGTAATGGGCAAAGACAATGACCTATTTAATATTTCTGTTCCAGCTAGTGCTAATCCTTGCCTTAATTATACTGAAACCAGCAATGATTCCTCAATTAGATGAACTTTTTTTTTTCAGTGACATAGTTATAAGCACAGATTCTTGAGCCAGATTGCCTGAGTTGAAATCTCAGCTTTGCTTTTTATTAAAACACAAATTACTCAACGTCTTTATACTTAAATTCTGTCATCTGTAAGATGGAGATAAGTTGAACCGTTGAAATTTGTGATATTTGACTGTTTTTGACTTATAAAAAGGTCAGGTCCTATGGCTAAAGGTACTTCCTCATAAGATATAAGGATTGATTGAATGAATATTTGTAAAGTGCTTAAACCAATTCTTGGTCTATAGTGTTATATAAATATCTGTTCGATAACATGAAATAAAACATTAAAACCACTCCTTACTGTCTACAGATGATTTCTTTCCTTTCTAATTCCATTGATCAGACCTTGATTAATAACTTGCTCTTTTGCTAACAAGACTAGAATAGTTTAAATGATGGAATTCCTCAAATATAGACTTCAAAATGCCACAATTTACTTTCTACATGTTCTTTCTCTTATTTTCAAATTGTCTTTTTATATGATCTGCAGTGGTTCTATCAAGGTTGTTTTGGTTATCTTTGGTGCTTTCTAATGTGCTGGAAGAAGTTACCAAGCTGACTAGGTTATAAAAATTTATATAAATAAAAACTTTATTAATCAGAAAAGGTATTGAATACTCATTATGTTCTCAAGCCTATGCCAGAAAATTGTGTTGGAAAAACTGTAGAAAATTGTTAGAACTATACAACTCAGTAATTGTAAGAAGGAACAATGGGTCTCTGAGGTGAAAAATCACTGCAGGTAAGTAAGGGGTGTGGTAAGGTGGGCAGACTCAACAAAAGTGTTTGAGCAGAGGAGATTCGTGAATTTGTGAATGCTATGGATTGGGGCTAAATCCCACGCTGACCAGTCTTCTGAGGTAAGTACAGGCCCTGGGAAGGAGAGAAGCTCATGGAAATCTCTGAAGGCTAAGGACAGGTTGATACCACATGACAGGGGATGGGTACCTACTCTATTTCATTGCCTAACCAGTGTCCCCAAAGCCTGAAAAGATTTGGCCCTGCCAGCTGCATTGACTCTTCACGTTCTTCTTAGACATTTTACTTCCTGTTATTTGAATACACCAAGCTCTTGGTCTGAGACCTGTACACTGGCCCTTCTCTCCACAGGCAGAGTGACTCGTCTGGATATATTTAGGGCTGACTCCTTCTCATCATTCAGGTTTCAGCTTCAGGTTTTTTAGCTTCAAGAAAAGACTTCCTAACTAAAGAAGTTCCCTCTTGTTTTTCTGCTCCAGTCATTCTCTATCATATGCTTTGTTAATGTCTTCATAATTTTATCTCTATTTGAAAGATTGTTTTGTTAATTATTTTTTCTCTCCACAGGAGAAAAAAGACCCATAAAGCAAAAAACATGATTTTTTTTGTTTTTTTGTACTTAGAGGAATGGCTGGCCTACAGTGGGAAGTCACTAATTATTTGTTTTTGTGCAAAGAGTAATAGTAAATAAAAGCTGAGAGGGGGAAATAAACAACTCTTGCCTTCCAAATCACAAGGAATGGGAAAATCTAGTATATTCAGCGCAAATGTTAACCTTATTCAGGATGACAAACTGGTGGAGTCTAAAGTACGTTTGTAGGTTAAATATAGGTAAGCACAATGAAAAAAGTCACTGAAAATAATTTCACTTAAATGTAACTGTCAAAATTTTGTTATATTTCTTTTAGGATTTTCCTTTACACATTTAAAAATTGTACAAAATATGATCACATTGTTCTATAATTCATTCAACAATATGATATGTAAATCATGTAACAATATAATATTGATGATTTAACAATATGATATGTATGTTTTTTCATGCTGACAAATCTACCACTAGCATGCAGTTCTTGGTGGTTACGTGGTAATCTATTGTATGGATATAGTCATGTAACTTTAGTCATATCTTCATTGCTGACATTTAAGTTATTTTTATTTATTTATTTATTTTAAAAATATTTTTATTGGGGAATTGAGGGGATGGGAACAGTGCTGGGGAATTGGGGGAAGGGGAACAGACAAGTTGCTGTCGTTTTGTTCTTCAGTCTAGTTGTGGAGGATGTTGCTTCACTGGCCCAAGTTGGCACCATCATTGCGCTCTTCCCAGGTGAGGCAGATCAGTTGCCGGCTTCTGGATGGCCGCTCACTGTGGCTGCTGGCTACACACGGTAGCCCATGGCAACCCACTGCCACAGGGGCTGCAGCCTATGCCGTCACCAGCAACTCACAGCAGCCCAGCTCCAGGTTGAGCTGTTGTTCAGCATCTTAGCTGTGGAGGGCAGTGTCACTGGCCCTCATATGTGGGATCCGAACCGGGGCCCTCTGGGGTCCCAAGCCAGTTCTTAACCATTGCGCCATTCGGCCGGCCCTTAAGTTATTTTCAATTTTGAATTAAGTTAGTTATCAACAACTCTGCTATGAAAGATCTTGACATACTTCCTTATATGTCCATGGCTTTGATTACTTTTTAATGACACTTAATATAAATGAAATTGCTGTGCCCAGAACAGGATGTTCCAAGAGGAGGAAACATGATATTTTCATCCTTTCTATTTCTTATTGCTGTCTTTTCCCCTATTCTGGTTAGCTGCTTGTGTTTTTATTTTTTTAGCTGAGCCATCCTACTACCTCTTGGCTGCTTAGCGGCAGCTCAGCTCGGGGCATCGCATCGAACCACTGTTGCTCAGAGCTCAAACTCTTGAGCGAGCTCTTAACCAACTGAGCCACTTGACCAGCCCAATTCCCCTATTCTGTATTTCCTGTTGTTTGGTTTTTCATGGTAGGTAAATTCCTAAGTAATGATTTTAGTTTCTCTGTTTGCTAAACTCCCAATTTCTGTTATTTGGTTCTCAGCATCCATGAAACTAATTTTTATTTTTATTTTTTAGAAATTACATCTCTTGTATAATGGTAGCTTTGTGTCTTCCTACAAAATTTGGAGGGAATTGATCCACCATCTGAGGTGAGTAGATCCATTTTGGTCTAACTCAGGTAAGAGAGACTTCTGGCTCTCACGGCTTTTCTTTGCAAATAGGATTAATGATATTTTCATCCTTGAGTGTGACTCTTTTCTAGAGCTCAGAGAAGATTCAGCTGTGTTGTTTTTGATTCGACACAGATGAAGCAGACAGTGGAATACAGTAAGCTACAGTTCTCATGTGAAAACTTCACCATAGGAAGCTAAGGTAAGGTATAGGCAATGTTTCAGAATTGAGTGCCAATTTGTTGATGTCTGTTTCTGGTGTGCAATGAGGACAGGTTGAGAGTGGAGGAGTTATAGCAACCTGGAATAGTCTAAAAGCATGGCATAGTTGGAGACATATATAACTAAAATTAATATATTATGAGAGTTTAATTCATATAAACACAGGTGACTGCATTGATTTCTTCCTAATATCTCATGTAGAAGTGGCTCATTATGTAAATGGTGTAATTAAAAAGGGTCTGGAAAGGATAATTCTGGCAGCTAGGAACTTAGAAGAGACTCTATCTGGCAAGAATCACATAGCGGATGTCTTTGGATAGACAGAGGACAGTATGAAAGGAGTAGATAATTGCGCAGGAGTAGAAGGCAATATGACAAGAGATAGTAGAAGAGCTGGAGAGGAGGTGGTAGACACCAAAGACCCACTTTGCCTACTGTGAAATTCTGCTAAGTGCCTTGGTAGTTAAATCTACTTCCTCATGCCCTTAAAGTTATTTTTGACTTTAAGTTGTCAGTGACTTCCAGAGTACCGTAGTGAACAAAGCCTGCACTCTGAAGTCAACTTGTTTTTTAATCTAATGTTTAAAATTAATATTTTTTCTTTAATGAGAAATACATGTGCAAAATAAAAAGTTTATAAAAGTATAAAGAAGAGAGGGCCGGCCGAGTGGCGCTTTGGTTAAGAACTGGATTGGGACGCCAGAGGGCCCTGGTTCGGATTCCACATATAAGGGCCAGTGACACTGCCCTCTACAGCTAAGATGCTGAACAACAGATCGACCTGGAGCTGGGCTGCCATGGGTCTCTGGCGACGGTGTAGGCTGCAGCCCCTGCTGCAGTGGGTTGCCATGGGCTACCGTGTGTAGCCAGCAGCCAGCGTGAGCGACCAGCAGCCACAGTGAGAGGCCGTCCAGAAGCCGGTGACTGATCTGCCTCGCCTGGGAAGAGTGCAATGATGGTGCCAACTTGGGCCAGTGAAGCAACACCCTCCACAACTAAACTGAAGAACAAAACAACAGCAACTTGTCTGTTCCCCTTCCCCCCGATTCCCCAGCGCTGTTCCCCTCCCCTAATTCCCCAATAAAATCTTAAAAAAAAAAAGTATAAAGAAGAGAGAAAAATCACCCATAGCCTCCTCATAGAAAGATAGCAACTGTTAAAATTTCAACATTTTCTTCAGGTACTTTTTAAAATTCACTTGTATCTTTAATACTATTGTACGAATTTGGTTTGAAACTGACACTTAACAAAATTAGGAAATTCTTGTAATCTCTTTGAGTCCTTATTTTCTTTGTTTTTTTTAAAAATTAAAGTTTGTTGAGTGACAATGGTTAGTAAAGTTACATAGGTTTCAAGTGTACACCTCTGTACTACATCATCTATACATCACATTGTGTGTTCACCACCCAGAGTCAGTTCTCCTTCCATCACCAGATATTTGATCCCTTTTACCATCATCTACCACCCTCTCCTCCCTTACCTCTGGTGACCACTAAGCTTTTGTCTGTGTGTATGAGTTTTTGTTTCTTCATTTATCTCGTTCCTTTGTTGTTTTCAGTTTTATATCCCACATATGAGTGAAGTCATATGGTTCTCGACTTTATCTGTCAGACTTATTTCACTTAGCATAATAATCTCAAGATCCATCCATGTTGTCGCAAATGGCACTATTTCATCTTTTCCTATGGCAGAGTAGTATTCCATTGTGTATATATCTATATCTATATCTATCTATCTATCTATATAAAATCTTTATCCAATCATCCACCAAAGTACAATTTGATTGTTTCCATGCCACCATAAATAATGCTGCAATGAACATCAGAATACATATATTTTTACGGATAAATACTTTCAGATTTTTTTGGTAGATATCCAGGAGAGGGATTGCTGGGTCATATGGTAATTCTATTCTTAATTTTTTGAGGCACCTCTGCATTGCCTTCCATAGTGGCTGCACCAATCTGCATTCCCACCAACAGTGTATGAGGTTCCTTTTTCTTCAGAGCCTCTCCAACACTTATTATTTGTCTTGTTGATGATAGTTTTTTATTTTTCAATTACAGTTGACATACACTATTATGTTAGTTTCAGAAGTACCACATAGTGATTAGACATTTATATAACTTATGAAGTGATCCCCTGGATAAATTTAGTACCCATCTGACACCATCCATAGCTATTGCAATACTATTAACTATATTCCCTATGCTACTTTACACTCTTGTGACTGTTTTTATAACTGGCAATTTATATAGCTTAACTGGATTTTTATTTTAAATTCTAGTTCTTTGTTATCTTGTAGAGAAAATTTCACTTGTCTTCAAAATCAGCTCACTTTGACAGAAAGTATTTGAGATGAGATTAATTCTCAGTACGGAGTCTTAAAAAAATCAAACACTTAAGTCAGCTTTTCTTTAATCACTTCCTCACAAAGCAATAAATAAGAACATTGTTATTGAGAGTTACAGTTGACTTCAAACTCCAATGCCATGATATTTATTTGACAGATTTTTAGGCACTTTTCTATTGTCAAGTTATTAGTTCAAAAACATTTAACAAGGAGCCTAACACCATGGATTAGGTAGAGAGATTAGAGAGTAAAAAATACCAGGCTAGACTGGATACATTGAATGAATCTTGAAATCGGATGGTTGACATCGGTGATTTCTTAAGCTTTCTCTCAGATATTATAATTTATATGTTTAAAGCACATATTAAGTATACATCCCACTAGGTAGAGCACCCTGTCCAGTCTGAGTACCGATAGAAGCTAAGATGAAATGAGGGAAATTCTGTTATCAAAATAGATCTTACAATCATATATACAAATGGGGATTTGATAGCTATGTTTTATGTAAATTATCTTCACCCTTTTTTCTGTATATAATTCATATAAAGTACACTGGTAGAAACTTACATTTTGGGTTTAGATCATTCTGCAATGATATAATAGCGAATTATCCTTCTATAATGCTTGATTTCTTCTATCTTAATATTATCTTTCCTGCTCTGTTTGTCTCCTGGATAAAGGACAAAAGTGGATGCAAAAAGAATAGCTTCCATTTACCCCTCCAGTTCCACTCAACCCTTTTCCAGCTGACTTTGTGCCTTTACTAAGCTCTTTTCCAGTTATCTAATTTGAGTGTGCCATATTTCGTCCTGGCAGGATCCTGGTTGACAAAGTATACAAAAATAAAAGCCAAAAATCTTTGTTTTCTCACCTAACAATACAGTGCCTGAAGTAGTTATTGAAAAAAGTTTATTTCTATTTGTTCAGATACATATATACTCATATGTGTGTGTATGTACATATATATATATATGAGTATATACATATATATTTTTATGCACAGCAACATACTACTATGCCTGCTATTTTGCTACCCAGAATTTCATTCAACAGTGTGTTATGGTTGTCTTTGACTAATAGAGTTTGAATTTACTTCTCAATGGCTTCAGAGAATTTGACTGTATCATAATTTCTTTAATTCATCATCAATTGATATTTTGTTTCCATTGTTCAATTCATTTGTAAGCTCTATTCACTAAAATGAACTTTTGTATGGCTAAAACTTTGTGAACATCCATAATTACTCAAAATATGATTGTATAAAAATGAAGTCTTGTGTACATTCTTCAATTATTTAAACTATATTAAAAATTAAGCACATTGGTATTTTGGGAGCTGATCAAGATGATTATGGTTAATTTTTTGAATTAATACTTACCAATTTTCAGGTACTAATTCTAATGGGTAGCTACCAAGATTTATGAAATTTCTCACAAAAGAGCATAAAGCTTTTAAACGCAAATATTCCACTCTTGTTTCCCTCTTCCTCTCTGGTGTCTTATTATTAGTTTTTAGATCCTTTGGTTGCTCTGGTCATACCAGATAGTTCTCTAGGGGCAAAGTCCCCTGATCCATAAGCTCGTTGTAAACTATCATGCTTTTGCAGTTTCACTTGGTCACTGTCCTCTTGACTGTAATCAGCTTCATTTCTTCTTATGGCAGGATTTTATATGACACTTTGTGTTGGAGAACACAGGAACATCTTAGACTCCTGGAAGATGCTGTTCTCTTTATACAGGTAAAATGAAAACATGGAAATAAATTTAACAATGCAAAGAGTGGCTTTAGTTCAGACATAATTTTGTCTTTGGAATTGCTATGCATATGAGCCATATTTTCCAGTGCTTGAGTGTTATCCTAAAGCAAAGTAGATATTGTCTAGGATAAGGAATTGAATATTACAGAAGAATAATTGTGAAAAAAAGGCTATTGGCATAATGGGAAAGGTTAACTGACATGGCTTTTAATTGGACTCACATTATTCCTAAGGTAATGTCAAAGACATTAGAAAAAGTCAAATAGTATTGTGATATTTTGTATTCAAAATAGGGCACAATAAATCACGCTGTTCCTGATGCTGATTAAATGAATGATTCCCACCCTCTGCCACTTGATAAACAGGCAAGAAAAATGATTAACGCATGAAAAAAAATATATAAAATAGGTGTATTTGTATTTTTCTTTCTGTTAGTTTTTCAAAAGAAAAGGGTATAAAGTGATCATTTTCTGTGAAAAGGGAAGCAAATTTTATTAAAAACGTATCAAATTTACAAGAGGGAAAAGGTACTCATACATATCTCAACAGAAATAAAAGACATGGAGACCAAAAAATCCAAATCTGAATAAATAATTTCCAATGTAATGTCACTTTAAAATATGATATGAAAAATTAAAAACAACAACAAGCCACAAACTACCAGGAGATTGATCTAGTTTTCTTGGTCTCTTATGTGGTTTAGAATAGGAGTGTTTTGTATTAATTTTATCTCTAAATCATAAGTAGAATGAAGAAAGGTTGACAAATGAGAATTTTTTTGGATGGAAGGGGGTTAGTGAGAGGAAGATCCTAATAGGTAATGTAAAAGGTATTGAGTTTGCTGAATTTTACAAACAGAAGACTAAGGAGTGACTTAGTTTTTTGCATTCATGTACACAAAGTTTGTTGTTGTTTTTTTAAAGGATTTTATTGGGGAATTGGGGGAGGAAGCAGCATTGACAAATTGGGGAAGGGATACAGACAAGTTGCTGTCCTTTTGTTCTTCAGTTCAGTTGTGGAGGACGTTGCTTCACTGGCCAATGTTGGTATTTTGATAATTGCGCTCTTCCTGGGTGAAGCAGTTGGTCGCTGGCCGCCCACGCTGATTGCCAGCCACTCACAGTAGCTTATGGCAGCCCACTGCAGCCCCACTGTAGCTTACGCCGTCGCCATAGACTCACGGCAGCCCAGTCCCAGGTAGAGCTCTTGTTCATCATCTTAGCTGTAGAGGGCGCAGTGTCACTGGCCCTTGTGGGATCCGAACTGGGGCCCTGCTGCTCAGAGCTCTAAGTCCTAAGCCAACTCCCAACCAATGAGCCACTAGGCTGGCCCCACAAGAGGGTTTTTGAAAAGGACACAGAATTATTTATTTTTCCCACAGTTAGAAAAAATAGAGGTCTTAAATTAGAGAGGGCAGGATATTACCTGGGTATAAGGAAGGTTGTGACAATTTTTTTAAATTAAAGATCATTGGGGTGACAATTGTTAGCAAAGTTACATAGATTTTGGGTGTACAATTCTGTAATACATCATCTATATATCACATTGTGTGTTCACTACCCAGAGTCAGTTCTGTTTCATCGGTTTTGTGACAATTTGGAAGATAAAATGCAGAGATTTTGAGCTGAGAGAGATTTTAAACCCACAATATTTTTAAATTGAGTAGGACATTTACTGGGACAATAATTTAGATTAGTGCCTTGTTCAAACCTAACAGCTGTCTGTAGATCCCTTTCAACTTGATGACTATTATTTGACTGAGGTTACCAATATCTTCTTCATCTATTGTATAAAGGATTAAATGTCTGGGAACCTGTTTTGGGAAATAATCAATTCTATATGGATCAAGAGAAAAAATTAATCAAACAGAAAGCAAAGAATTAGACTTGCTTTTGCATAATGGATATTTAATTAGTTAAAAAATTATGAATACAGATGAATGTTTACAAAAAGTTATTTCAAAGCATAGCCAATCTATAAGAGAAGATGATTTCAGAACACCATTATTCAGGAGTTTTCCCATACGGGCAGATGATTCTTGGGTGAATAAACATCATATCCTTGTGTCTCCACCTAGAAACCTCTCTATGACTTTTGCTCTGGACTGAGATTTGATGCCGACTCTGTCTCAAGTGACTTTAAAACTGTGGTGACCCAAACTTTGCAAGTTTCTGTATTCCCTGATATTTGAATGGGTATATTCTCATGCATTTAGTATATGTATTGGATTTTTGCAAAAGTAATGATGTATTTTTTTCTATGTTTTTTGTTGCAAAAATGTGTCATAACTTTTCCGACAACCCAATAGGTTTTATATTTCTATCTCATTCTGATTTAAATTCACTTTTCCTAAAATTCCCGGATTTTACCTAGTTGGTAGGGATTGGAGAGTCAAAAGGCAAATAAATTCACAGCTATATGTGCATGCCTGATAAAGGCTTATTGCGAAAGTCTCCCAAGAGTGTTGGTACTTAAAAGATACCTGAAGATATAAAACTATAATTTGTTTATAATTATAGAATTTCTGAAGTGTACAATGGAAACCATGTGTCATAAACCTGCCTTTTATTTAATCTAAGGTAAGCTTTATTCTTTCTTTGTTTGTCATTATACACATACTTTCCTAATTTCTTCATTATTTTCAGATTTTCCTTTTAATCTCATTTATTTCTTTTTCTGTATTGCTTTTTAATTTTTATAATCCTCTATTTTCTATTTTTCTCTGTTGCTTAGGAATGGTGCGATTTCTTTACTCATCTTCCTTAATTATATAACTAGGCATATTCTCATGTATTTTTAATTATTCAAATACATCCTCTTCTGTCTTTTAGCATATATTTATTTCATGAAATATTTACATATCCTTATTATGTATGTGGTGTGATTCTAAGTTTTGGGATACACTGGATAACAAGTCAGATATAATCCTTAACTTTATGGGTATTGCCGTCACATGGAGAGACAGAACAAACAAAAAGTCAATGAATTACATTTGTAGTAAGTACTACCAAAAATAGTGTTTTTTGAGAGCAACTGTATATAATCTACACAGGATGGTTTTTATTTTGATCACTTAAAGACTATGAATGTTATAATCTATTATTATGTAGAAGGAGATAATCATATTATTGAAATTTCTTTTAGATATAGAATTTTGATGCTCTCTGCTTACCAATATCATTTTCTTTTCTTTTTTATTCATTTATCTCATGCGTTGAGTACTGTTATGGACAAGTGAAAGAAAGGGAAGTAAAATGAATATTTATCAAATATGTACATATTAATCCATACACACTAAATACACGACTACGAAACTTTAATTTTTTTATCCCTATCACCTACTCTGCAAACTTAGTAATATTAATTGCAATTTTATAGATAAACTGAGGTTCAAGAAGTCAGTCATTTGCCCAATGTCATCTTGTTAGTGGCTGAATCACAGTGTAGATCTTGGTTTTCTGAATCCAAAGACCATATTCTTTCCACTGTGCTATGTTGCTTCTCTAAATAAAACAAAAATTACAAGTTAATGTGATAAGTACTTCCACAGAGGTTTGAACAAAATGTTTTTCACTACACCATGATGCCCTAGTTTTAAGATTCTCAGATCATGTGTCAGGGCAGTGTTTCTCAAATTATCTTTGGTGGAAACCAATTTTCCCCCCCCCCAATCCTTCATGGACTGATACTCCAGTAAATGCAAAATCATTACTTGGATTTTGCTGTGATGTAAATTTTTAGAAGTTTCTAAACACTCTCGATTTCTGCACTGAACATGATTCAAACTGGTAACAGAAAATTCATGGACCTATACCTCTGTCCGGGCCACTTTTTCATTATTTCAAGAAATCCAAATATGAATAAGCCTGCCTTCAAGAAGCTTACAGTCTGGTTGGTGAGTTAAAACTCTACTAGTAGACACAGACAACAGTTTAGTGAAGGGGTCGGCAAACTGCGGCTCATGAGTCACATGCGGCTCTTTGGGTACGTTCAGTCTCAAAAGTTTCCTACTCCTGGAAGAGCCAATCCTGTCCCTCACAACAATTTAAAAATCATTCGAAAGCAATAAATATATTTTTACAAATAAGAAAAATTTAAAACAATATTATAAATGAAACTATGATGGTTTTATTTTCATTTTCAGTTTTGCTTCAGAGCCACATGTACGTACCCAGAGAGCCTCATGTGGCTTGTGAGCCACAGTTTGCCGACCCCTGGCGGCTCTTCTGACTCAAAAGTTTGTTTGCCAACCCCTGGTTTTGTGGTTACCAGAGGGCAACAGGGTGGAGGATGTTATAAGAGGGTAAAGGGGGTTAAATATATGATGATGGAAGGGGAGCTGACTCTGGGTGATGAACAGACAATGTGATATATAGATGATGTATTATAGAAATGTACACTTGAAACCTATACAGTTTTACTAACCCATGTCACCTCAATAAATTTAATAAAGATAAAAAACCTGAGGGGCCGGCCTAGTGGCTCGCTGGTTAGGAGTTGGCTTGAGAGCGCAAGCTCTGAGCAGCAGGGCTGCCAGTTTGGATCCCACATGGGCCAGTGACGGTGGACCCTCTACAGCTAGATGGTGAACAACAGCTTGACCCGGAGCTGGGCTGCCGTGAGTGGCCGGCGACAGTGTAGGTAGCAGTGGGTCTGCAGTGGGCTTCCATGAGCTGCTGTCTAATGGCCAGCGACAAGTTGCCTCACCTGGGAAGATCGCAATGATAATACCAACATCCGCCAGTGAAGCGACGTCCTCCACAACTAGACTAAAGAACAAGAGGAAAGCAACTTGTCTGTTTCCTTCCCCTGATTCCCTAACAAAATCTTTAAAAAAACCCCAAAACACCAAAAGTTGAAAAAAAAACTTTACTCAGTTTACAAAAATGCAAGAGATAGTAAAATAAATGCTGGTAATATAAGACAAGACCTCACATATAAGGTTAAAAGAGAATGAAACTTGAAGATAAACATGTTCCAGAGGAAGGGAGTCAGGAGGAAGGGTCTGTTTGCTAGAATACAGCCTGTGGTCTTGCAAGTGGATGGAATAGTTGAGAAGTGGTCAAGAATTTTATGTGACTGGAGCCAGACTATATTAGTCTTGAACCAAAAATCAGAAGAATTTGGCGTTGAATTCCTATTACCCATGTTGACCTATCCTGTATCTCATGATCAACATCATGGTATCTACCTTGAGAGGAAGTAAATGGGTATTAAATGCAGAGAAAACCTGGTGGTTATACCAGTAATAAATATAATAGTAATAAAGCAGGACTTCATAGATGTGGTAAACATTCATGCAATATTTAAGGTGAATACGTTGTCAGAGGTGGGGACTGGGAAGTGGGAGAAGAAAAGTCTCTCTCTCTCTGTCAGATGAAGGTTATAGGCTTGTAAGGATTGCAGTAGTGATTAGCTCTATGACTGAGACCAGATATTAGTTTTGAAGCAAAAAATCAAAAGGTTTCAAGCTGAGGTCCTGTTATTCATGTTGACATCTTGTATCTCATGACTAATATGAATCAACTCTGGGAAGAAACAGACGATATTGAATGCAGAGACAACTTTGCGGTAGAGAACAACTCCATATGAAAGCTACCAATTTCTCAGTCACAACATTTCAGAGTCCCTGAACATATCAGGTCAGTTTAGAGAAAGAATTTAATAGCTTTGATCTCTCTCCTAATTTATTACATAATTATCATAATTTACATTTTTAGGTTGCAATGTTGACAAAGGCAATGGATGGAGTGAATCACTCTGCAGTGTCAGAGTTTGTGTTCCTGGGACTCACTGATTCCTGGGAGATCCAACTTCTCCTCTTTGTGATCTCCTCTACATTTTATGTGGCAAGCATGATGGGAAACTCCCTCATTATGCTCACCGTGATTTATGACCCTCACTTACACTCCCCCATGTACTTTCTATTGGCCAACCTCTCCTTCATTGACCTCGGAGTTTCTTCTGTCACTTCCCCCAAGATGATTTATGACCTTTTTAGAAAGCGTAAAGTCACCTCCTTTAATGGCTGCATCACTCAAATCTTCTTCATTCATGTCATTGGTGGTGTGGAGATGGTGCTGCTCATCGCCATGGCCTTTGACAGATACGTTGCCATATGTAAGCCTCTCCACTACCTGACCATCATGAGCCCAAGAATGTGCATCTTCTTTTTAGTGGCTGCCTGGATGACTGGCCTCATTCACTCCACAATTCAACTCGCTTTTGTGGTAAACTTACCTTTTTGTGGTCCTAATGTGTTGGACAGCTTTTACTGTGACCTCCCTCAGTTCATCAAACTTGCTTGCACAGACACCCACCAACTAGAGTTTATGGTCAAAGCGAACAGTGGATTCATCTCTGTTGGCTCCTTCTTCATACTGATTATTTCCTATATCATCATCATTCTCACGGTTCAGAAACACTCTTCAGATGGTTCATCCAAGGCTCTGTCCACATTGTCAGCTCACATCACTGTGGTAGTTCTGTTCTTTGGTCCTTTAATATTTTTCTATACGTGGCCATCTCCCTCCACACACTTGGATAAGTTTCTGGCCATCTTGGATGCAGTTTTCACTCCTTTCCTGAATCCTATCATTTATACATTCAGAAATCAAGAAATGAAGGTGGCAATGAGGAGAGTATATGGACAGCTAGTGAATTACAGGAAGATCTCTTAAGTGATGCCTGTATTGTGAAGAGCCCTCATTAATTAATGATGCTCATTATTGATGGTCAAACTCAGAGAGAAGCTCTTGTTTGTATTACCTTGATTTGCTTATACACGCTGATACTGTATCCATTTTGTCTCTCACTCCGGAGGGTGGGACATTCAATTTTGAAATGAGAGAACTACATATAAAGCATTTGTAAAATGAAGATTATGATAATCTTGAGCCTAAATTCCTAAGGAATAATATTTATGTGAAGTGATTTTTAAGTACACATGAGAAAGCTGACTGCTTTAAGGGCATCAGAACACTGATCAGTGTCTTCTAATCCATCCTAATTCAGTATGACTTAATCTTAGATTGGCTATACCTGCAAACATCTAATTTTCAAATACGGTCACATTCATAAGTATTGGGCGTTAAGATTTCAACATATTTATTTTGTGGGCACATATCAACCCATAACAGTAGTGTAGAGAACATGGGTGGGTGTATATAGCTCCCTATTAATCAGAGTGAAAATATATTTAAAATAAACAGTAGTAGATACTTCAATCTTTCATAGGCAATTAACTATATTTTTAAAATAATGGAGAATTTAAAGTCAGCATAAGATACAAAAAGTTATTTTTGTAAGCTAAAAAAATCTCTGCTAACTCAGAAGATTACACAGAAGGTAAAGAATAACATTTACTGCCTTTAGTCAAGAGTAGAATAAATACATCAAGATAAATTTGTCATGTCATTCTAACAGAGAGGAATCCAAGTGCAGTCTTTTTTAAAATTAAATTTATTGCGGTGACAATGATTAATAAAACTACATAGACTGGATATATTGAATGAATCTTGAAATTGGATGGTTGACATAGGTGATTTCTTAAGCTTTCTCTCAGATATTATAATTTATATGTTTAAAGCACATATTAAGTATACATGATATTAGGCAGATGTTGGATATAGGGTTGCTGGAAGAAGCAGATGCTATTTTTTTAATGATTTTAGAAACTTAATATTGTTTTTTTTTAAATTAAATTTATTGGGGTGGCAATGGTTAGTCCAGTGGTGCAATCAGTTAGCATGTGGCACTTATACAGCAGATGCTAATTTCAATAAACAATAATAATAACATGTAAAAATATTCATGACCAATATGAACAAGACCCTTTGGAACTGATCAATTCAGCTGAGTTTAAAAGGAGAATGATTATTCTTCAAATTCAAATTTGAGGCTGGAACGTTAGGTGCAATGCATATATAGGATAATGATAATGAGATGGAAATCATGAAGGGAAACAAAATCGGGAAGATAAATTCAGGAGGGAAAATGTGACAAATAGAAGTTCCAGAAAGATAAAAAGGAAGTGGTTTAATTTAAATGGAGAGAGGAGGTGAGAAAAAGGGGGAGAAAGTATTTTGAAGATCTCAGTTTATTTGGTGTAGGGGAAAGCAGGAAGGAGGTAAAATGTTGGTAGGGAACATGGTTGGCATCTTATTTTAAAATAGAGTGGAGAACCATAAAAAATACAGAAAGTATAGCAAGACTTCCATGTTAATAAGCAGGGGGGTGGGGCGGTGATGAAATGAACACTATCTAAATCAAGCTACCAAAAATTAAACATGAAAACAGTTCATCTCTTTTTGCTGATGACAATATTGTAAACCTAGAAAACCCAAGACATTTCAGCACAAAACTATTACACCCGAAGACAGAATGTAGTAAAGTGACTACATATAACAGACAAAAAGAAATGTTTTTCCCATTCTAGGAAGAAGAATCTAGAAATGAAGATGAGAAAAGGTATTCTTTTCATAATGCCAAAAAATGTTATAAAATGTATGGAGTAATTTAAACAAAGACACATAGAACATATGTGAAAAAAAGGGCAAAATCTTATTAACGTCCATGAAACAAGGTTTGAACAATGGATGGATGTACTATGTTCTTGAATGGGGGGACACATCATGACAATGCTACTTCATTCAAAGTTAGTGTATAAATTGAACACAATTTAAGTTATAAGTCCAGTGGAATTTATTTTGGAGGAATGGATAAAATGATCTTAAAGTTTATATGGAATAATATATGCTCAAGAAGAGCCAAGGAAGTATGAAAAATAAGAACAGTGAAAGAGGGACTTGCTTTGTCAGATATAGTGACACAGTATAAAGCCATTTTTGTCAAATTCTGTGATATTTGTACAGAACTAGACAAATATATCAGTGGAAACAGAATAAAGAATTCAGAAATAGATCCCATAATATCTGAGAATTTAGCATAATGCAAAAATGATAGTTAAATTTAGCAGGGCAAGAGTGGGCCATTTAACACATAGTGCCATTACAATTCTGTTCACCTGGAAGAAATTAAAAGTGGACTTATTTTAAAAATATACAAAAATAATACAGCACAGTTCTAAATAAAATGCAAATAAAATACTGGAAGAAAATCTAAGGGTGTATATATGTGATCCAGGGGTAAGGGTGATCTTTACTAAGACTAAACTGAGTAGCTGTAAAATAAGTAACAGCTGTATTTACTCATATACACTTAAAGACTTGAGTATAGCAAAAGGAACCACAAACAAAATTAATAGATAATTGATTTAGAGAAAATATATAACAAATGACAGAAGCTTTATATCTATAATATGAAAAGAACTCTTACAAATTGGTAAGAAAAAGCACAGTAGGAGATAAGAAAAGACATGAACAGGCAATAAACAGAGGAGCAAATCCAAACTGCAAAAAAAAAAATACATGTTCAAAATTAATAGTTGTCAGGGAGATGAAAATTAGAGCAACAATGAACTATCACTTTACACTCAAGATACTCACAACAATTTAAAAAAGTGTTAACATTCATTCTTGTGGAAATAAGTGTTCTTACAGCCTTTTGAGAAGTCAGTTAGGCAGAACTACTAAAACTAAAACTAAATGTACTTTGACCCAGTGATCCCACTCCTGGGAATCTATGACACAGAAAGAAAAGTATTCATACATAAGGAGGTATGTATAAGGATATTTATTTGCAGCACTGTCTGTAAGGTCCCAAAAATGAGAAACAAGGCAAATGCTTAATAATAGGGAAATTAGTAAGTAAATTATGGTCTACTGACACTGAATATGAGGCAGTCATAAAAAAGAAGAAAATAGAGCACATCCCCGACAGTTCTCTGTGCCTTTTTTCACATATTGCCATTCTGTGGCATATTCGAATATAGAAATTAGGAAGCATAAGTCTGTCTATTTCCTGATGTACTCTTCCTGAGATTTTTGGATGCCTTTGCCTACATTTTCTTTTCTTCATTATACACTAACAACCAAGCTAAATTTGAGGCCCATGATTAAATGATACCAAAGATCTAGACATGGAAAAATATCTGGAGCTGGCTCTCTGGGATTCTTGTACTACACAAACTCGAAGTAACTGTATACAATGACAAGGTGATCTTTAGTTTTCGACATTTGTGTAACTCCATAGCCAGGACTTCCCTTTCAACTTAAAAAGTGTTTCCTCTCTTATGCTTTTCAGGTAACTTCAGAGTCAGCCTAGCACACGAAATTGATGGATGGCGGAAATGACTCCGTGGTGTCTGATGTTTGTTGCTGGCACTCACCAATTCCTGGGAGATTCAGATTCTTCTTTTCCTGTCTTTCACAATGTTTTACATAGCAAGTGTGCTAGGAAACCTTGTCATTGTGCTCACAACCATCACTTACATTCCCCCATGTACTTTTTGCTGGCAAATCTCTCTCTCATTGACACAGGTGCTCCCAACATTTCAACCCCAAAGATGGTTTATGACCTTTTCAGAAAACAGAAAGTCATCTCCTTGAAAGGGTGCATAACTCAGATGTTCTTTATTCACACTGTTGGTGGTACAGAGATGGTGCTGCTTATAGCCATGGCCTATGACCAATACATTGCTATCTGTAAGCCCCTCCACTACCTGACCATCAAGAGCCTAAGAGTGTGCATTTCTCTTTTGGCAGTTGCTTGGACCATTGGACTCATTCACTCTGTGGCCCAACTGGCTTTTGTTGTAAACTTACCCTTTTGTGGTCCCAACAGAATGGATAGCTTTTACTGTGATTTTCCTCGGTTCATCAAACTTGCATGTACAGACACATACAGATTGGAGTTTCTGGTCACTGCCAACAGTGGTTTCATCTCCATGGGCACCTTCTTTATCTTGATTGTATCTTACATCTTCATCCTGGTCAGGCTTCGGAAACACTCTTCAGGTGGTTCATCCAAAGCCCTCTCCACTCACTCAGCTCACATCACTGTGGTGGTCTTTTTCTTTGGTCCTTGCGTTATTGTCTATGTGTGGCCATTCCCTACCTTACCCATAGATCAATTTTTAGGCATCTTTGATGCCCTTATCACTCCTTTTTTGAATCTTATTATCTATACATTTAGAAATGAGGAGATGAAGGTGGCAATGAAGAGACTATTTCTTAAGGTTTTAAGTTTCAGGAAGCATTCCTTCATGCAGAATCCAAGAAATTCAGATTCATCTTGATTATTCTTGGAAATTAATTTCATTAGTCAAATGTTTCACACATCTTTCACTATGAAATATGAAATTTCCACTATGAAATTTGTCCTCAAGGACTCTGTTTTGATCTGGTCACTTTTTCATGGGGACCCTTGCTTTATGGATCCTGAAAATATTAAGCAGGAATAAATTCAGCCTTGCAATCTAGAGTCCTTCTTGTTTGTGACTGAAAACTTTGGTGAAGGCAGAAATCTCATATACTGGGCACATTTTCCATTAATGCAAAATGTTATATAATCTTCTCTTTAGTAGTGCTTCTCAAAGACCTATCGCTTCCAATCTACATATGCACGGACATTCCTGCCCTCTGAGTTTCTCAGTGTCTATATACCTGGAGGAATAAACACAATGAAGACAACTGCCTACGTAGTTTTAAGAATTTGAGGCTTCCACCATCTGGTTTTGCCTATTCACACTCATTTAGTTAGTGCTAAGGTGTTTAGATTT